TCAGAAGCAGCTCAATCACAAGACGTGGATCAAGAGCAGCTTCAAGTGCTGTGTTTTACTGCTGCAACCCAAAGGCATACAAATGAACACGCAAGACACCAAGAAGAACAAACAGCGCCTAGGGAAGGCTACATCTGACCACAGGTCAGGCCTCACTTCAGTGGGCTCTCACACTCTACCTCTTGTTCCCTGACAGGCCACTAGGAGAAACTACTGGCACTTTTGTTCATTCCCCCAGTAAACTGAAGTTTCAAATTACAGTGCTATTAGTGAATACATGAATTCACACTTAATAACAGAAACTAAAGCTCATAAAAATTTGAGCTCTTTTAAAGAAAAGCTATAATCCAGTTACAGCAGACTTCATTTTATGCATCCAAATACTTCCTGAAAGCCACACCACAGCAGCCTTTCACAAACTAGTCTAACTAAGTGCACCGCTGGCTCTCTAGTAGCCCTGGAACCGCCCACAGGAACCCCCATCCTGGAGTGTTGCAGCTAACTAGACCAGCTCTGGAATGTCTACTGGTATGATCAAATGAAAAAATGAGTGCTGGCCGGGCGCAGTGGCGCATGCCTGTAATTCCAGCACTCAGGAGGCTGAGGCAGGCGGATTGTTCAGAGTCTGAGGTCAGTGTGGGCTACAAAGTGAGCTCAAGGCCAGCCTGAACTGCATAGCGAGACCCTGTCTCAAAAAGGAAAAAAAAAAAAAGTGCCATTTTGAAACTAAAAATACACAAAAATTTGATAGTCTCTAAGCCATTTCCTCTATAATCAAACATATTAAGTTTATATATGAACTTCACCTTGATTCCATGATCCCAACAACCCTTTTCAGAAGTACGACTGTGCCTGTAAAACTAAGACTGAACCCTAAACTCAGCCTGTGGGGCTGTCCGGTTTAAGGAAATGGCTCCCAAGGGCTTCATGGTGGATGCCAGAGGAACTCCTAAGAATGGCATGCTCTTCTAGAAAGTATGCATTAAGTTAAAGCATGATTGTGAAATGAGCACCGTGGAAGGTACCCAGCACAGCAAAGGTAAAGAACACATGGAAAATGTGTTGCTCACACATCATGCATGAAATGTTTGCAATTCCCAGCATTTCAGGCATTCTGGCCAGGAGCACATCCTTTCTTCATCTCTCCCTCCCAATACCTACTCATTTATTTCACAATGGTACAAACCAGTTTTACTTTTCAGTGTTTCACACAGAGGGAACAGAAGGCCTGGGTGAGAACGGGGAACATTATGCATCAAGACATTAGTCTCTCTTGCTCACATACCCATTCTTTTGTTTAAGGTTCTTTGTTTTTTTGTTTTTGTTTTTGTTTTTCTTCTGATACCAGGAATTGAACTCACGACCTTGCGCTTGCCAGGCAGGCACTTTGCCACTGAGCTAAACCCCCAGCCCCCTTAAGGTTCTTTGTTTTGTGGGGCTGGGGACTGAACCCAGGACGTCCACATGTTAGGTAGGTAAGAGTTATGTTTCCAGTTGTATGCCAAGTCTTTTTTTTGGTTTTTGGTTTTTTTCCGGTACCAGGAATCAAACTCACGACCTCGCGCTTGCCAGGCAGGCACTGTGCCGCTGAACTAAATCCCCAGCCCCTTGTATGCCAACTCTAATATGATGTATTTGTGCTAGTGAACAGGAGAAAGAAACTTCTACATTTCTTCTATAATACTCAAACTTCAAGGCAAGGTGGCTATGTCCAGTGAGTCTACCCTCCAGCCTGCAGGGAGGGAGTGCCACCCTCACCACCCTCCCTCTGACACAATTCCATGTGACCTAGTTAGCAGACAACAGTAACACAGTACTAAGGTACTTAGGAAAACGCCCCCCAAGTTAAAAGACTTCACATGTGAAAGTTTTAATTCTAGAGATGGAATGTGGCTCAGCACACATGAGGTGCTCAACCTGCATGAGGCGCTGGGTTCCATCCCCAGCAACCCTCCCCACCAGAACATTTTGGTTCCATAGAGGTCACTAATCCAATTCATCCATATTAAGGCATTTTTTAATGTCAAACAACAATAAAATTTAAAAATCGTAACACAATAGAAAACACAGTTTTCTCCTGGACTCTTTTAAAACGTCTGAGGTTAGTGATTCCCACACTGCGTAGGTCTCCACTCAGAAGGGCAGTTAGTGTTCTTGCAGCTCTGCCAGACAAGGCAGATGAAGGACCTTGAACCTAAATTACTGAAATAGTCTCCTCCTACAAGCGTAAAAAACTGGGATAAATACCGTTCTAGCCATTTTGAGATTTTCTTCTATATTTACTGGCCCTTTGGGTCCTAGAAACAAGTAGTAGTAACAACACTCCCCAGCCCCC